GTTGTATTGCTTGGAGGACACAGTGAGGAATGAAGCCCCATTAGGGCTTTGCATGCTGTTGTTTTTCTTGGCAATGAACTTGGCTGCTGCTGTTAAAAAAAAAAAATCAAATCAGTTCAACACATTATTTGTAAAGTTAGGATGGGATGGCGGTGTTAAAGGTCGAAAAACTAGGAAGGGCCTGGAGGTTTTAGGTTTGTAACTGAATCAGGCTACTTAAAAAATGGGTTCACCACAGAACTAACTCGTGGGGAATAAACCCAACCTAGTTTTGGTTTCTGCTGTGCCTTTAGCTTTCTGGTGGCTGGGTACGGTAGCCCACTCAGCATATGGCTAAGGCCACATTGTAATACAGCTAAGTCGGATGATGGTTGAAATAATCTATCATGAATAAAATTTAGGTTTCTACTCGCACAAATTGGCCAGCAATTAGTGAACAAGAATAATGTTTGCTGCGGGCAGAAAATAACTGCGCATGTTTTACCATCAGTGAGTTTTGATTCTGTGACATTTTATACCATCTACAACCACCTTCATAATGGGGGTTGTGTGTAAACTATTTTAGTTTGTTACTTTAGAATTAAGTTGTAACTCCATCCCCATGGTTTTCCACCGCTTATTTATTTTAATAATGCATAAATTCACAGCTTATTAGTAATCATTTGATTTACGTTATAACTACCGCTATAGTTTGAACTTACACCACAGCCTGCTGCAACAGGCTGCCCTGGTTTGTCCAATTTTTCACAAACTTTAAAACATGGAGAGTATATGTAAATATGTAGAAACAAATTCCACAACAGTATAGAAAAGAAATCTGGGGTGGCTCTCTTCCCCACAGAAAAAAAAAAAGAGCCTGCTTTTAGCACATATGAGAATTTAGCACTAAAGTTATGCACCAGTCACCCGGCCGAAACATAGCTTGGTAAAAATATATGCAAGTGGCTTGAATAAGATTGCTCTTCCCATTCGCCAAACCAAAAAACTCTGTAATCTGTTATGTGCAGGTCAAATTTTAACATCTACCAATCCTCACTATGAGGGTTTTCTTACAGAGGGTCATTAAGCCTCCGTTATACAGTACAGCCTGAAATAAAGAGGTCTTCTTCTACTTCAGAAGAAAACAATGACAATTGAAAAGTAACCTTAAGGGAAAGAGAGCAGGAGCGCTTCAGGATCTGTCTGATTAAGTACGGGAGATGACTGTGATTGATCAAACACAGAGTCTGAGATCAGACGCAGCAACGAGTTAAAACAGAAACCTTTCTAAGTTGCAAAAACAAGTAGGGAACAGTTGAGAAAACAGCTCAATAATGCTATCAGATTAGTTGTTAATAATACAATTCCAGAGGTAAACCACAGCAGTGCTGGTCAAACACCAGGAACGTTTGATAATCGTCAGCTGGAGACAACAGACGACTGGCTTTGGGTTGCCTGGTTGGGCACAGGACTGATGGCTCAGGGTTGTCACGATGGTAATTATGGGTTGCCAGGTTGGGTAGGAAGCAAGGCTGGTGCTTATGATTAGCGGTGAAGGAATTTCCCCTGAGGATGGCTCAACAGCACAGTATGCAGCATTATCGGCATTCTTGTTGTCTTTGCTAATTGCTCTGTAAAGATACAGCGGGGGCCTCGTGCAAGACGCAATGCACACAATATACGAACAAATTGTCCCTTATTTTTGTTCGTATCCATGATTTATTCTTATTTTGTTAGTAACCACTGAATTCTGGATTCACCAATGCTCTGCTCTTCGGTAAGAGAACATTTTACGAGTGGTTGAGAGCAGGAGATAGGAACAAAACATCTTGTTTTCACAGTCCACAAAATGTTTGTCCAACTCAGGGAAACATGGTAAATGGACTGTATTTATATAGCGGCTTTAAGTTCTTCCGACCACTCAAAGCGCTGTACGCTAAATGCCACATTCACATACATTAATACAGTGATGACAAAGGAGATCACAAATAGAAGGTAATTCATTCATGCACATTCATACACTGATGTACAGCATCGGTATCATCAAGGACACTTCAACATGCAGTGGACGACCCGCTCTACCTGCTGAGCCACAGACTCAGAACAAAACATATGTTTTAAATCTGAGGAACATAAAATATCATAGAATCAGATAAGATTATATGTTTTAGAGTAATTATAGTGATTGGATTATTAAGTGGCTTTGGCTTTCCATCCCCTGCGGTTCACTTCTCAATAGCGTGGTATTTCATTACTGCAGTTATCACAGCCAGTAAGGAGTGTAATATTGCATAATATCACATTGTATTGTGTCAATATGATTTATGAAAGTAATTGTCTCTGATCTAAATCTCTTCTCTCATGGCCAACCTTACCTAGAGCGATGACACTGAATCATAAACTCATATTCTGTGAATCCTCACCGTCCAGTAAAAAGCTTCATACCTCCAACACAACCTTGTTTTCTGAGTTTATCCAATCTGAGTTTAAGAAAGCTAATACATTTCTTGACACAGAAAGAGGAATCTGATCCTTCAGCAGGAGTTAAAACATATGAAAAGCATCTAAAGAGGAGTAAGATGTGTGGTTTGTGTCCATTTTGCAGTACTGACCATACTCCTGGTTCAGCCCCCACAGCTTGATCTTGTTGGCTTCGTGCTGGGCCTTCTTCTTCAGCCGGCAGGCCCTGGAAACAGAGAGCAAGAGAGAGAGCACCGTCATTCTCTGGAACAAGAAACTCTGTTCCAGTATTCACGTTCTCCACACGACCCTGTTACCGTGTCTGCTAGTTCACGCTGAGAGCAGCTGGAGAGCGATGAGTGGAGGATGTATTTCCAAACTGTGAGGGAGATTAACTGGAAACATCCCTCCGCTCCTCCTGTAACCATTTGACACCCCGACTCTGAAGTGGAAACGGCCACTTTGGTTTCAGAATATTTGGGGTTGAAAAATGGCAGCAGGGAATGAATCAATCAATGCATGTTAATAATGAATGCCTCTCATGGGGACTATACTCTGCAGCTTGCAGAGATTTTCTTTTTCTATTTTCTATTTCTTCTTTTTCTGCAGCTGTGAGTCAGCTAAATGAAACCTAAGGAAACACTTGCAGGCCAGTCTCTGTTTCTCTGCATGTTGGATTTCGCCTACAGCCACATTTTTCTCTTCTAAGTTCCAAATTTGTACCAAAGTCCCTGCTGGTTTGGAGAGGATGTAGACGACCACACAACAGTTAAGCTGTTCTTAATCATTGCGGGGATGGGACTGATAAAGTACAGAGGATAATTCCAACATATATGTACCACAGGTTTTTAAATTTCCTACCTTCCCACATGCCCCTAAACACACTGTCAATATAAAGTTTTCGAAACAGCCCCTGCTCTTGATTAAACATCAAAAATAGCCCCAAAAAAGAAGTTAATTGTGAAGCTGCAAAGAAAGTAAATGCTGCCTGGAAGGTAGGAAAAACATATTCGCCAAATGAGAAGCCTCTGGTGCTCGGATAGTGTCTCCAAACCTGGAGCTGTGTGTATTTTTGAAGTCAATTTAGCAACCAATCACATGATAAATGGTAACTTTCTCTTCAGGGAAAGAATGACTCACACAGCAGACACATTATTTGATTCATTTAAAGGAATACAAAATAACATTTTGGGGCTTATTTGCTGTCTGAACACCAGCAGGTGGCTCAGCAAATCTCATTTGTGCAGCTATGGAATAGACAGTGCTGAAAGTTTGGTGACGCCTACTTGCACTCTCAGGACAATACCTCTTTCTATCACCATCAACTCCTGTCTCATGACTGACTGCAAACCATACTGCATCTCTTTTGTGGAGCAACTTTTTCTCTAGCAGTCCAAAAATTAGACACATCCTTCACAGGACGATGCAGAAAAGACTAATCCATGATTTGTTTATTCCCTAGTCTGGATTACCGCA